GGTATTGTTTATTATCAAATTATGGTGTTTGTAATTACACTGCATGTTTCTTTGGAAGTCATTGTCAGGTCAAGGTACAGACCACTAATACATTTTCTTGAAGTTCTGTCTAGTGTTATACACGGATCACGTGTAGCTTGTAAAGAACATATTGAATAAACTAGATGTTTAATAAGATCGTGCATTAACAGAAGTTATAGAGAGTTTAAACGTCATCTTCAGGTATGCATCACTTTGTCACATTCCTTTCCCACCCACAGTTTATTTATTAAAAATAAATAACGAACACAATTTAAACGTCAACTTCAGGTATAGATCACTTTGTCACATTCGTGCACGTAGTTGATCGTGGACCCAATAGGGACAAGCCTATCGTGACGCATCGTTCGACAGTGGGAATTAACAATAGAGACATATTAACAAATCCAGTAACTGTATATCCATAAAATAATTGTACTTGTGTGGCATTGTTCACCATTTAATAGACCAACCTCAGTTTTACAAAACATTCTCAGGCTTAAGAATTTACTCAGAATTATTCACCTTATTTTAAGTAAGATATAGCCTTTTATAAAACTTGATGTATCAAATACATCAATAAAAAAGTTCTGTGTTTCTAGATCGTAGATATTTCACATAAACAGTGATTGAAAGTTAAGTAAATTCTTAAAGGCTCAATACCACTCTTGTTGTAACTGAATAATATGTCCCAATCTTTATTCTGGTCAACAAATTGTACTATTTTAGAATATTTCAATTAATTGATGATACAAATTTCATCTTAACACACCTTATTTAAAAATTTTGAAAAATTCAACATAATGGTTTGAAACGTCTAACGTAAACCTTTTCAAATGAAACTTCGATTTAAAAATATTTTCGAACCCTCTGGACAAGTAAAATAGGATGTAATGGATAATTTACACAACAGGTAGGACACTTATAGAGATATTATTTATTTTCTGCAGCTTTCAAGCCAGCAAGAGTGTTATTGTCCCTTTAACTTAAGCCCGCGAATGCTTTGTGAACTTGTGGCATGGGTTATAATTTGACCACAGCTTTGTACAATATCATTCAAACAATATCATTACAATGGCGAATACGGTAAGTGTGAGGAAATCAGAATAGAGACTGTGAAAGAATAATATTATTTATACTGTATACATGCTGTTATTCTTTACAAATGAATACATGTGGTCAGCCAATAATAGGTACAACATGCTCCTAGACAATATACAACATTATCCGGTGTGGTATTGCTTACTGTTTATTCATTAGAAATGAAAAAAACTGGTCAGCCAGTAAATAATGAAACCATATACAATACTGTTACTCGGTATGGTAGCTTTACTTTTATAACACGTGTTAAGGTATTTACCGTTATAGGTAATTTGTCATGGCGGCCTATTCAGACTACATAACGGTACATTAATGAAACTATAGATAACACAATTAGTGGTTGAATTCGGATCCAATGCAAAAATTCGGGGATGATTTTCGTATTCAGCGAACCTGAGATTTTTGTTATAAATTGTCACCGAAAGAAGAGTTAGCTAGATTAAGCGGGGTTCAGATAAGAGCTATTCAACGGCGAGTTCAATATCAATTCCGAAACAGGGCAACGTAAATCTAGTAGCGCCCAAATATATATAACGACAACGACGAATGCTACATAATTCACTTGATTTGATGGTAGTTGTTAATGCTAGATTCTCACTGTCGTGCGATGTGTTACAATATGATTGCCTCTATTGTGTCCACGATCTGGTACGTACAGATACGTTCGGATACGTTTCGATACGATCAACACGATTGCTACGACTCACCTCAATATATGATCAGACCTGATAGGATTACAACTATTACTTTACGATTAAAACCATGCTTTCAATATTAGCACGAATCGTGATAGTGGGAACCTAGCATTAATGATTGTAATGTCTGTTGAGTTTGTGTCTAGTCCGCATGTTTGTCTTATCGGTACTATCTGCACGTAGTGCCGTCCTCCTGCACTTACTAATGGAATCAACTGTAGAGGAGGTACCTGACCTCGCACATTTTCTGACTATAGAAAAAATATTATGCCAGAATAGCGCCGTGACGTACAAGCAAGGAAGTCTGACGTCACATCGTGCTGGTTTTCTTGGCTAGTCTGTATAGGCATCTACATCGTTTTGAATATCGTATAGATATTTAACCCGTAAATTATGAATGCAAAGAATAACTGTATCAATACATGTATTCCTAAAAGGCAATCAACTATTTGAAAAGAAAATCGAAAGTTCTAGTTAAAACATGTTTTCTATGGTCGACATGAGGTTGTCTAGTGTCATTATTACACGTAATAAGCCTCGGAGTCATGACGATTCAATTTTCTAACATCCATTACAGCTATCTTTATAGCTAAATATCACTCCAAGATACGTCCAGTGCACTGCAAGATACGCCCAGTGCACAGCAAGATACGCCCAGTGCACTCCAAGATACGCCCAGTGCACTGCAAGATACGCCCAGTGCACTGCAAGATCAATCTGATTCATATACAGATCTACATTTCGTTTCGGTTTTTATACTTTCAATGGCCTACACTACATGAAGATCTGGCCGGTTGTAGTGGAAGGTCGCGTCAGAGGTCATACGTGCGGCTTTTGGCCCTATAACGTCTGACATTAATTGATTAACCAATCAGCGTTGACGTTTCTAATGGGTCGCCCACAGTTCCGTGTACCTCACACCAAAAACTGACCGTTTCATTGGCTAATTCCTCACATCATCCTGAGTACCCGGAGTAAACCCACGAGGTGTAGAAGGCGCCTCTATTTCCAAGCCACATACAATCACGCCAGAGATTGCAACCACGACCGCAAGCCAGAGATCAATGCGCGACAACCTAGACAACTACCCGTCCCGCCCACACCACCCCTGAAACTATCTATACGATGGTAAGTGTTCGTCGTGATTATCAAGTCAATCATACAACTGAGGAATGAAATTCCTTTAATGAGATGCGTAGCTCCATCACGAAAATAGGCCACATAATATGAAATCTGAGCCCCCCCCCCCCACACACACACACACCACCACCAAATTGTTTCTTCTACCATTTTAATAATATTAAACATACATTTGCAAAAGCTAAATCTGCCCATTGCATGTCTTTCTTTAGGCCTGAAATTTTATATAAACTATTAATTAGACATTAATTAACTTATCCAGACCATAATCAACTATCGATGCCATCGCTAGCCCACGATATTTAGCGGATTGGAATACAGTTTTTGAAAAATAATTAAACGTAAAATTGGATTATCGACACTTTGTGTTTTTTTATCGTATCGACTTTAGTAATAATGATCGAGCCTAAAATTCAAAAGCTAATATCTCGGTTCAGAGTTGAGCAATTTTACGGAAATTTTCAACATATTCTATTTACGTTATCTATTTTGTAACTATTATAGCGAGAACTGTCAACCCTTTATCTAATCTCCCATAATGTATCTTTAAAGTATATTTGTAATCCTCAATATAAAACCCTACAATAATTAGGTTTATGTTATCTGCGATTCTATTTATTAAAGTTTATAGATTGTAATATTAAAGTATATTTGTAATCCCGTCAATAGTTTGGTTGATGTTATATCTGTGATATTAAAGTTTACAGACATAACAATCTATGTTGTTATCAGATAGATAAACTATCAATATTGTATAAACATATATAAATACATACCATAGTCGGTAACAATCACATTTCTACAAACCCTGTTTTCTACAAACCCTTATTTATAATAGTAAGTGCACGGGTACTGCACCACACATAATTACACAAAACAAAACAACGGACAAGACACAATACGCAGAAATCACAAACAAGCGTGCATATCAGATTAATGGACTGGATCCGGGGGTTAACCGTAAGCGTCGATCCACTGCGTTGTAAAGTGATTAGAACTCTTTATTTCTACAAACCCTGTTTTCTGCAAACCCTTATTACCCCAAACACCTATTTCTACAAACCCTTATTACCCCAAACACTTATTTCTACAAACACTTATTTATAAAATTCATCTTCTTGGTATAGTATGAATTGTAACGCTCTCCACATAACATGCCACAGAACAGAACACCCTATACCACATACAATAAAATGAGTACATTAAAATAAGGGAGAGAGAGAGGGAGGGATGAGAGGAGAGAGAGAGAGGTTAACGTTAACTCGACAAAGCTAGGTCATTTCGGGACTAACATATGGTTCAATTTTATTTCAACAATTCGTCTTTAGCAGTGGGAGGAAACCGGAGGACCCGGAGAAAATCCACGAGGTTGTATTTAATACAAGGAGTACAATGTGATAATATTATATAAAGGCTGTGTGTTATCAGTGTGTTGAATGACAGGGTAAAGTGTGCATATTGTTGAAGTAGCTCTAGTTACCATCATCGGGTTAAATAACATTCAGTTTAAAATCATCATCCACAAAATCATACACATATTAAACTGACGATCCAGAGAGGAATAAATGAATGACATAAGATTTAATTAAATATGATTTTTCTGTTATAGCCTACTGATAACTGACATACGTGAGGAGAGATCTGTTGGTGTTTAATACAGGCCTTGTCAATGTCAGATTGGTGTGCCCCATCTGTAGGACTAGGAAAGGTGATGTCAATGTTTGGGGCTGCTTGGTGTGTAGCTATTGTCCCATCCCAACGACTAGGCAAGGTGATGTCAATGTTTGGGGTTGCTCGGTGTGTAGCTATTGTCCCATCCGAACGACTAGGCAAGGTGATGTCAATGTTTGGGGCTGCTTGGTGGGTAGCTATTGCCCCATCTGAACGACTAGGCAAGGTGCTGTCAATGTTTGGGACTGATGGGTGTGCAGCTGTTGTCCCATCCGTACGACTAGTTACACTTTGTCAGCGCGCGGTGAAAAATCAAACATAAAAAATCACGTGGAGTTTAAAAAAAAATACATAATTAATGAATCAAGTTCTTACCTGTGATAGAATTTATCCTGATTATAAAATCCAGGGGTTAGGGGCAGTGAATAGGTGCCCGATGTTAATTCCCAGTAAACTATATATTGTAACGACAAGGACTATAACGGTATGTTATAATCCCTACAACGTTAAATCTAACCGAATATTTTCACTACTTGAACGTGTAGTAGTTACTAAATACACACACCGATAACATTGAATCGAGCACAACACCCCGGCCCCAATATCATAAACCACCAACTAATATCTCTCTACTTTTATTTCTTCTTACTTTAACTATTGACATTAACCAGCAGGTCAAAGGTTGAGATCGATAATACAAACGCTATCATTGGTTGGATCTATATATGGTATGAAACGTGGATCTGAATGTCAACATCGCGAGAAATGATCGCGAGGAAATTCGCTTTCACACGTTCAGTCTACATAATAATTAAGCTTTTATAACATTATGCACAGATTTTATCTTAGGGAGATTTTCTTCTATGTTTTTCCCTTTTCGTGTTCGTTTTTCTTGAGTTATTTGTTCAATTCAAACAAAGAAAGTGCGCTCGACAATCTGTTTACCCACTTTGGCTGTTATTGAAAATTGTTTCCCCTCTTTAAAGTTTATCCGTATTTAAAAAGAGCTTTGTTGAATTCAAATCCTTACACCTCGTGTCGCAGAAAACGTGTAAATCTAAGCTGGAGGGTTTCGCGGGTGTGCCAATCTGCATGTAAAATAACAGAAAGGGAATGAAATGGGGGTTTAACATTGTCGTCTGAGTGCGAGACAGATTTTAAGAAACACTTTGGGGTTATTTCACCCCGAGGGAGGCGGAACCGCTGAAAGCGTACCGCACTATTGTTAAAGGTGCGTTATGTAAGGAAATAAAATGAAGTGAAATGGGGTTTAACGTCCTACTGTTCTGCTCCGACTGGGATAATGAAGACGGGCATACGCCATACAGTGTGCTATGAGGGAACTTTTACCCGGCAGCGGCACTATAGCCTACTCTTATATCGAATTCCAACTGTTTTACGTGCACGCCAATTTATACACGGGTCCTCGATTTTTCGTCACAACCGAATGACTAGACGGCTGTCTTTGTCAGACCCTCCTTCCTGAACCACTGACAAGGGGGGGGGGGGCACCTCAGATAATCCCGATGAACATTCTCTGGCAATGCAGGGGTCGAACACCCGACCTCCAGACTAGCGAGCCAACGTCTTACCCACTTACCCACCGTGGCTCGCATGTAAAATAACATTCAAGTGGTTGTATTTTTTGTGGAATCCTGCGTGAGTTGCTGTAACGGATTTGTAGCACGTCTGAGTGTTGACACATTCTTGTAAGATGTTAGACAGTGGACAACATTCTTAAAGTGCTTCGCGGAAACTCTTCGATTTTCTTTCCTAGTGTTTATAGTATTTTTTTTTAATATATAAAAAAAAATTGCCTATCTTCAGATCGATATTTCTAGCAGTCTAGGTATGGGTTTAAAACTTCGATTTTACTCTACTGCTAATGTGGATATTGGTTGGTGGATATTTTTTTTTTTTTTTTTTTTTTTTTTTTGCTTTTTTTTAAAAATAAACTGCCGAACTTTAGTCTAGTTATGGGTTTAAAACTATTACTTTGATTTTCGTTTAAATTCCCGAAATTCAGACCGCTTTTTGCAGCCTGAGACAGGTTTTAACCTTACAAGCTTTCATTTTTAAAGACTGTAAGGTGTATCATGTATTAAGAAGCTATCAAGTAACCCAATAGGATTGCAAATTTGTAACTTTTGAATTTAACTGTAGAGACCATATTCACGAAAATATTAATTTTAAAAATGCGTCCCTTTCATTCCCTAAGAGCCTATAGGATTTTAACTCTCATCCAATGAAAAGGTCTCGAGATAATATCAGGATCCCACCCCAAAACAACGATTATTCGCATCAAAAATTCGCAGCTTTAAAGCAACCATGGTAACTTGGTTCATATTTTTTTAAGAGCCTTTGCGAGGGACAGCCCTCATTGGTTATATATTTTCCGGCGTTGTTTCCCCTTGTCAGTGATGCAGGACGGAGGACCTGACAAAGACAGCTGTCTATTCGTTGGGATGGGACGAAAAACCGAGGTCCCGTGTTTACATTGGCGTGCAAGTAAAATATCCCTTGACAGTTGGAATTCGATATAAGAGTAGGCCGTAGTGCCGCTGTCCGGGCAGAATTTTCCTCATAGCACACTGTATGGCGTATACCCGTCTTCATTAGCCCAGTCGGAGCAGAACAGTAGGACGTTAAACCCCATTTCATTTCATTTTCATATATATTTTTTAAATGGCCATGAAAAGTGAAACGTAATTACCACACCCCCTTGCACTTCGATCCATATGGCGACGACAAGGCCTCCTGGAATTTGGTGTTAAAATATTCACTAAACCAGTTAAAAGAATATTTTTAATGGTGGGAGAGAGAGAGAGAAATGGGGTTTAACGTCCACTCGACACAAACCAGGTCATTTCGGGACTAACATATGGTTTAATTTTATTTCAATAATTCGCTTGCGCGTAGAGGTCTTTAGTAGTGGGAGGAAACCGGAGGACCCGGAGAAAACCCACGAGGTTGAACAGGCGACCCTACTCCTTGTCACGTACAACCGGGGATTCGAAACCACGCCAGTTGACTCAATGACAGGCTTTATGATACAGCGCGCACGTGTTAATCATTCGTTCACCCCCCCCCCCCCCATTTTTAATGGTAATACATACGAACTAACACGGTCCGATATTAAACTTTATAATATTCCTCCCACACAGAGGGGAAACGATCTGATTAAAATACAGATCAATATTTCGTTTCATTTCTATACTTTCGATGGCCTACACTACATGAAGATCTGATCAGTTGTAGTGGAAGGTCGCGTCAGGTGTGATGCGATCGGCTTTTGATCTTATGGCGTCAGACATTGATTAATCAACCAGCGTTGACGTTTCTAGTGGTTTACCCAAATTTCCGTGCACCTCACGCCATAAACTCACCGTAACAGACCGTTTCATTGGCTAATCCCTCACATCATCTATAACGCGGATTATATAAGAACAACCCTTCCAGATCCTAGTGTAGTAAAGACAAGTAAAACGAAATTTTGAACTATAAAAAAACAAAACGAAATAGGATCTGTGTTTTAATCTGATTGGGGAGGAAATGGAATAATCCCCTTTAAATTAAACTGTAATGTTCAGTGAAAGTTAATCCACTGCTTCCTCAATTAGAAATAAATGAATAATCATAAAAAAAATTATCCGCAGATAAAACGATGGTCACAGATCGTAAAACATTTTGTAATGATGCCATAATCTACTGGATAAATCAGAAACCGGGGATACGGGATAATAATTCCTAGACATAAATTAATAATCAATCTGTCCAATAGATTAATATAAATGGTGATCAATCGATTGTGAAATTGTTTTATTGTCTTTCTCTGTAGTGGAAACAGTGCAAGTCTATTTTGTGCTTAATTGTAAATAAAAATATAACCGTGAGAGAGAGAGAGAGAGAGAGAGAGAGAGAGGGAGGGAGAGAGGGAGAGAGAGAGGAGAGAGAGGGAGAGAGAGGAAGAGAGAGAGAGAGAGGGAGAGAGAGATAGGGAGGGAGAGAGAGAGAGGGATAGAGAGAGAGAGAGAGAGAGAGAGAGAGAGAGGGAGAGAGATTGCTCCTATGAAATTGTCTTAGGTCTTGGGTTTCCTACCACTGCTAAAGACTCATATGGATATAAAATTAAAACATATGATAGTCCCAAAATAGTTTGTGTTTAACGTCCACTCGACACAAACTAGGTCATTTCGGGACTAACTCATGTCGTAAATTTATTTCAATAATTCGCTTGCGCATAGAGGACTTTAATAGTAGGAGGAAATCGGTGTAACAGGTGACCCAACTCTTTCTCACGTACGAGCGGCTTTTGACCTTATGACGTCAAATATTGATTAATCAATCAGCGTTGACGTTTCTAGTGGTTTACCCACAGTTCCGTGCACCTCTAGCCAAAAGCTCGCCGTAAGGGACTATTTTATTTGCTAATCCCTCACATCATCCAGAACGCGGGATATATAACAACTCGCGATCGAAATCACGTCACTTGATTCGATGACAGATCCGATCTCGTCGAAACGTGTATATAAACAGAGCTATAACGCACGAGTTAATACCATAATATTTATCTAAAAATACAAAGAGCCTAATAACAAAAGATAAAACGGAGTAGCCATCTCACTTAATCTACTAATGAATACAATAAATATTAAAATATCAACAAAATGTCCAGCCAATTGTTCTATTGTCCTTGGAGTTACAGAGTAGTTCAACATTGGTTTGCTTAAAATATACAATAATGTAAAAATAATATCAATAAAACAGCGATAAAGAGAAATGCTGTTTATAATGACAATAATAAACTTGTGTGCTATATTTATTTATGAGGCTTTTATAATTCGGGTGGTTTAACGATATGTTTAAATAAGTAAATCGCCTTTCATTCAATAAACGAAATCTAGACTACACTGTAAAAATAATGTTGGTGTTAAAGCTGCAATTTCATACTTTTAAGTTATATTTTTAAAATATATTAAAATAAAGCCTTAAAATAGATGGTATCCATAAACCGTCCTACCTTGTTAAAGAATAATCCTATTAATCCTATAATTCACTATTGCCAGCTTAGAAATTGGCAAAAATATTATTTTCAACTTCAAATTCCAACGTTTGAAGGTAGCTAATGCATGGAGGCAATAGGAAAACAAGGGAGGTAATTGTGTTATTATTTCCTGTGTCAATGATTTTTAAGGGTGGGAAATAATGCCCATGGTCGTATAATAGTGAGTTGATAACCTATTGAGCAAAAGACATAGAAATATGAAATTATCGCTTTAAACTGTATATAGACTGTATAGGCTGTGTAAGAGAAACGACTGGGCGTGGTCGTGGGTGTGGGCGTGGTTTAATTCATGAATTAATAACATGGATTATCCTTGGATGTGGGTGTGGTTTAATGAATCAATAACAGCGGGGCTACTTTAAGGTCCCAAATGCCCCCCCCCCCCTTGTCAGTGGTGCAGGACAGAGGGTACAGTGTTAAACTGTATAGGCTGTGTAAGATTATGAACTGGGCGATCGCGTTGGCGTGGTTTGATTCATGAATTAATAACAGCGTGGCTACTTTAAAGTCCCAATGGGTTCCCCTTGTCAGTGGTGCAGGACGGAGGGGTATGGAGATGAACAACGTCTAGTCGTTCGGATGGAACAAACAATTATAATCCGATGAAGAGTATATAGAAATGTCGGTGCCTGGAACAAATGTCCTTCATAGCACACTCTATGGCGTATGCCCGGACCAAATGTCCTTCATAGCACACTGTATGGCGTATGCCCGGACCAAATGTACTTCATAGCACACTGTATGGCGTATGCCCGGACCAAATGTACTTCATAGCACACTGTATGGCGTATGCCCGGACCAAATGTACTTCATAGCACACTGTATGGCGGATGCCCGGACCAAACGTTCCTTATAGCACACTGTATGGATTATGCCCATCTTCATTAGCCCAGTCGGAGCAGAACAGTAGGACGTTAAACCCCCTTTTCATTTCCTTTCCTTTTATTCTGAGCTAATCCAAGTCCAGAGATAATCTACTGTTAATATATGTTTTTTTTCCCTTAATGAAATTGTAAATAATCAATTTTGGTACATTTAGTGGTGTTAATATTCATTTTTATAAGACAATTCTCAATTTGTATAGACTGATTGTCGATCTCCGTCTGAATTATTGGGTCTTTCACAATAAGGACCGATGGCCTGGCAATGGACAACGTATAGTCGTTCGGGTGGGACGAAAACCCAAGGTCCCGTGTACACATCGGCGTGCACGTAACAGATCCCTTGGTAGTTGGAATTCGAAATAAGAGTAGAACGCCCGGTCAAAATATCTCTCATAACACCCTGTATGGCATAATAATGCGCGTCTTCATTAGTCCAGTCGGATCTAAAACCCCATTTCATTTCATTTGCTTTAACAATAATTGGGGCACCTTAAATTAAGAGTAAAGTTTTTTTCAGTGTATGCGTCCGTACACAATGTATTTCAATGAAGAGAATAGGAGACATATCAGTGCCGTGCCCGAACATGTACATATAAATACATATACAATATCAAGTTGAATATAGTTTTTGTTATAACTGTTGTTAGAGTTTGACCTCGGAATGAATATGGGGTCAGATTGAAACAGGTGTAAACGCGACTGAAAAGATAAGAGTGCATTTGTACCGAAAACGACACGTTAAAGATTATTTATCGGCGACAATTTATCCCCCATAAATAATCGAAAATATGTGGCAATTGTTGACCCGACAAATTATCGGTGAATTATTTGTTTTAAAAATCACATGCGAAGATGTGATTATTCGGACATGATAGTAAGACAGACTCCTGTCGCAATTCGAAATGCCTAAAACATCGCGAAGTTACCGTCCCGTTTACGATTTGACCTACGGAACAGAGTTTAAAGGAAAGATATTAAAAATTTAGAAGAGTTGTCATTGGGGTGATATTGAGGGCCTAATAGAAATTGAGAAATTCCCGGCAGTAATTCTGTTTTCAATAGGAATGAAATGAAATGGAGTTTAACGTCCTACTGTTCTGCTCCGAACTGGGCTAATGAAGGCGGGCATATGCCATACAGTGTGCTATGAGGGAAACTTTGCCTGGACAGCGGCACTACGGCCTACTCTTATATCGAATTCCAACTGTCAAGGGATCTTTTACGTGCACGCCAATGTGTACACGGGATCTCGGTTTTTCGTCTAACGGAAGTCTAATCGTGCACTTATTGGCGTGCACCTAAGAGACTCCTTGAGCAATGGAATTCGATGACGAGGAGGCACAAACGCCACTGCCCGGGCAAAACGTCAGGGATAACACGCTACATGACGTACGCCCGTCTTTATAAAAGAGAGAGAAATGGGGTTTAACGTCCACTCGACATAAACTAGGTCATTTCGGGACTAACACATGGTTCAATTTTATTTCAATCATTCGCTTGCGCGTAGGGGTCTTTAGCAGTGGGAGGAAACCGGAGGACCCGTAGAAAACCCACGAGGTTAGACAGGCGACCCTACTCTTTGTCACGTACAACCGCGGGGAATCGAAACCCCGCCAGTTGACTAAATGACAGACCGTATGATACAGCGCGCGCGTGCTAACCATTCGGCTATTCCTCCCCCCCCCACCCCTGTAAAGAAAGGAGCATATTAACGAGTATTTGTCGGCGACAATTCATTGTCAGGTTAGAGAAGGAGGCCCGGAGAGTATAGACCCCTAGTCCTTCGGATGGGACGAAAAAAATGATGTCCAGTGGTGTGCTCATTGGCATGCACACAAGAGACTCCTTGACCAACGGAATTCGATGACGAGGAGGCACAAACGCCACTGCCCGGGCAAAACGTCAGGGATAACACGCTAAATGACGTACGCCCGTCTTTATAAGACCGGTTAGTATTTATAATAGGCGGACGGTAAACCTCATTTTATTTCAGTTTCATACACCATGTTACAATATGCAGCTCATTCTGCA